AGGGAGGAGGAGGGGGAGAAGGAGAGGGAGAAGGAGAAGGAGAAGGAGAAAGGAGAGGGCCTGGCATGGACTTTGGAAACCTCAACCCCACCCCACCCCACCCCCAGTGACACACTTCTTCTAACAAGGCCATACCGCCTAATCTTTCTAATCCTTTCAAACAGTTGTACTTCCTGGTGACTAAGCATTCAAATATCTGAGCCTATGGGGGCCACTCTTGTTCAAACTGTTACACTATGCATCCCACATACATCATCTCCTTTGCCTCAGCTTTCCGAGTCCTAGGAGATGCCTCCATTTCCAGCTTCAGTTCATCTTTTGATGTCAGACTTACTCTGATAGCCAAACAAGCAAACAAACAAATCAACAGGTAAGATATACATTATCATCACTCATAAATGTAGAAACAAAAAAAACTCAAGAAATACTAGTAAGTCCAGCATTTCAATATATAAATTAAGACCAAAAATGGAATTATTCCAGAAGCTTAATGCTAAATCAAAATTGTGAAAAATCAATGTAAACTACCATAACAGTATAAAGAAGAAAAATTACATGATTGTAACAATAGATATAGAAAAAACATTTGACTAAATTCAACATCTTCCAAGATTTTATTTAAAGTAACTTAAAAAAAAACAACTTTCAGCTGGGTGGTGGTGGTGTACATCTTTAATTCCAGCATTTGGGAGGCAGAGGCAGGTGGATCTCTGTGAGTTTGAGACCAGCCTGGTCTACTGAGTGAGTTCTAGGACAGCCTCCAAAGCTATAGTGAAACCCTATTTCGAAAAACCAAAACCAAAACCAAAACCCCTCTCTCATCAAACAAGGCATAGAAGGAAATTCTAGCAAGGAGAGGAAGGACATTTATGAGACACTAATATAAGGTCTTTAAAAACTATAGCTCTACCTGGCCCTGAATGTTCTATGTAATCAAGCTTCATAAATTAATCCAGATACAGAATTCGGGGAAAGACAACAGATCAATGAAACAGAATGGAAAGATTATAAGGGAAATCACAAATAACTTCTACAAATTAAAAATAGAATTCATTTCCCCCCAAAAGTGTACTGGGCTAGCTGGTAACACACACACACACACACACACACACACACACACACACACACCACGCGCGCGCGCGCGCGCGCGCGCGCGCAAGCGCACACAACAACAAGGAGATGCAACAACAATGAGATGAGACTGAAGGATGACATACAGAGCAAATTTTATCTTCCTTTGCTATTTGCATTTTGTACTGTGTACATGTATGCCAACATTTCTGTTTTAAAAATTGTTAGACTGGACTCCTTTAATTAGATACACGCCTTTAACCCAGCACTTTGGAGGCAGAGGCAGGCAAATCTCTGATTTCAGAGCTAACTCAGTCTACCTGAGTTTCAGGCCAGCCAGGACTATAGAAAGCAGCTCTGTCTCAGCAGTGTTAGTAACTGACATGAAGCAGAAGCAGAGGTCTGCCAGCCAGGGGTTTTATCCTTCTCCTTTACCTTTCTCCACATCTGCATTTCTGTCTACTACCAGCTCCTCTGTCACGGAGAATTAGCATTCCTCACTACCAAGTGAACGTTGGGGCCCATTCCTCAGTGTCCCGGATTCGTTAGTTTTCTTTCCCGTTCAGAACAGTTCTTGCCCTAAAACCTGTAGTTCTAGACTAAGCTCCAATGTTGCTATCCCAGGAGTCTTGTCTGACCCTACAGATCCCATTGGAGCATTCTCTGAAGTATTTGTCTGTTTGCTTGTTTGGGGGGGGGGGGGGTTATTGTGTGTAGCCTTGAACTCATTGGTACAAAAAAGACTTTCTGAACAGAACACTATTAGCCCAGCCACCAAAATCAACAATAATCGAGACCCCTCAAAATTGAGAAGCTGCTGCACAGCAAAGGACACCATCATTTGGACAAAGCAACAATGGGAAAAGACTTTGACCAACTATACATCTGATAGAGGGCGAATATCCAAAACACATAAAGAGCTAAAAAACAAGATAAGACAAGACAAGATAAAACAAACAAAACAAAACAGCCCTAGCCTATATAATCAAGAAAACAAGCAACCCAATTAAAAAATGGGGTACAGATCTAAACAGAGAATTCTCAATAGAGGAAACACAAATGGCTGAGAAACACTTAAAGAAATGTTCAACATTCTTAGCCATCAGGTAAATGCAAATCAAAACACTTTGAGATTCCATCCTACATCTGTCACAATGGCTTAGATGGTAAGGATGTAGAGCAAGGAGAACACTCATATGATGCGGATGAGAGTGCAAACTGGTACAGACACCATGGAAATCAGTGTGGTGGTTCCTCAGAAAATCGGGAGTTGATCTTCCTCAAGATCCTGCTATACCACTCTTGAGCATATACCCAAAGGGTGCGTTATCCTTCCACAGCAACACTTGCTCACTCATGTTCATTGCTGTTATAGTCATAAAAGCCAGAAATTGAAAACAACCTAGATGTCCCTCAACAGAAGAAAGGATAAAGAAACTATGGAACATTTACAAAATGGAATATTGCCCAGCCATTAAAAAAATGACATCGTGTAAACCATGTTGCCATCAAAGACCAAACAGATGCTCAGGTCTAGGCCACAACCTGAGATCATGTTGGTATCCAAGAGCTGTGCCACTATAGGGACCATGATGATTTGCGTGACCAGCACCCTCACCAGGGGCCATGTTGTCATCTGGGCCAGGACTGCTGTTGATGGCCATGTCTGGGTCCATGACCCTACTGCAGACAGGGTCTGTGTTGATATCTGTGGTTCCTGACACCATTGAAGGCCATGCTGATACCAGGGGTCTGGGTTGCCACCTGGGGCCATGTTGGTATTTGAGGGCCTTGCTGCCACCAGGGCCATGCACTGAGTGGCCTACACTGCCTTTTCGGGCCATGGAGACACTGGGCCTGCTGCAGCTGGGTCTGTGTTGATATCCATGGCCTATGTTGCCACAAGGAATTATAGGAGCCATGTGTGTTGAAGTCCCAGGCCCTTGCTAAGCAGTCCCCACCCTTCACTGGTCCTGGGATAGTTGACCCTACCCCTCCATGAATACTGCAGCAGGAGAGCTGGTCCCACCCCTCAGGGGAGAGCAGACCCCTGTACTAGGGAAAGATGGCCCTCACCACAGGCGTGTACTTCCCCTGGTCAGTGCGCTAAAGCTGACCCTGGTGAAGGGTGCACAGATAAGCCAGCCCTGAGGGTGTGAGAGCAGGCGAGGTGACCCTGGGTCTTCCTTGTCTGCCATGTGGAGGCATGGGGGAGGGAAAGATGCTACACAACCCCCCAACCTGAGCAAGGGAGATAAATGGCCCTGGGGTAACAGGAGTGGGAGAACTAGCCCTGCCCCTCACCAGGTGCAGCACACAAGAGAAGGGGCCCGACACATTATTTGAGCTGTATACTAGAGTTGACCCTGAAGATGTGAGAGCAGGAGAGCTGATCCTGCCCCCACCCCTTGTACGCCCCTACAGCAATCAAGAGACTGGCCCCTCCACCTCGATTGGTGCTGTGAGTGTGGGTGAGCCGAAGCTGAGAACACGAGAGCTGGAGAACTGGCCCTGGTCCTTGCTACAGGCTGCATTGGGTGAGCTAGCTGAGGCAGTGCTGGAGAGCTCACCTGATAGTGACAATGAGAGAAAGCTGGTAGGCTGACCAATCCAGCTACCACCCAGGGCCAGAGTTAGGGCTATGAGTTGCCCCAGCCCAACATCTACCTCATCTATGAACTGTTGGAGCATGTGAAGGGGAAGAACCTACGAACCAAAACTGCAAGATCTCCATGACACAGGACAACAACAGGATATCCAAGGGGAGCCCCAGTAAGAGCCCATTAAAGGTGGCGTAGCAGAAACCAGAGGCCTCGAACCAGACCATTGACTGATGGCAATGGATACTTGCAAGTAAAGATAAGTGGACTAAAGAGTAAACTGTGTGACTCAATAGGCCACACTACAGCTTCCACGTTGAGATGTATTTTGCTTTGTTTTATTTAGTTTTGGATTTTTTTTTTTAGTTTTGTTTTGTTTGGGGGGATTTGCAAGGGCAGAGGGTGGAGAGTGGTCAGGTAGATAAGTGGGATTGGGATGCATGATGTGAAATCTACAGAGAATCAGTAAGAGTTAAAAGAAGTTTCTAGGGCTGGAGAGATGGCTCAGAGGTTAAGAACTTCCAGAGGTTCTGAGTTCAATTCCCAGCAACCACATAGTGGCTCACAACCATCCATTATGAGATCTGGTGCCCTCTTCTTGTGAGCAGATATACATGGAAGCAGAATGTTGTATACATAATAAATAAATAAAATTTTTAAAAAATGACATCATGAAATTGCAGGTAAATAGATGGAACTAGAAAAAAATTATCCTGAGTGAGGTATCCTAGATCCAAAAAGATAAATACAGTGTGTATTTACTTATATGTAGATATTAGCTGTTAAGTCAATGATCACCAAGCTGCAATCCATGGGACCACAGACGGTAGGTATAGAATAAGGGACTAGAGGGAACAGATAGAGCTCATTAGGAAATAGAATTAGAATAGATAGATATGGATTGGTGGAGGGCTGGCATGGGAGGATCACGTGGGAAGGGGGAGAATAGAGAGGTTTGTGGGAGGAAATATAGGGAGATATAGCTAAAATTAAGGGGCATTTGGAGGAGTACTATGGAAACCTAATGCAGGAGAAACTTCCTAAAACATACACACAAATGAGGGCAATCTAAATGAAATTGCCAAATACTGGGGGAGACAGAAACCCAACTGGCCAGCTCTTGTTACCAAATGAAGCTTCCAGTGCTGGGATTGGGTTACACATAATTGAGTTGATGGCCAGAAGGGCCCCATGGGAATTCCCAAACAACTCAGGATGTTGCCAAGGTTATAGGTTTCCCTCCAAAAATTGACAGCAAGGCCCTAAGACAATACCTATATAACTCGTTGAACATGCAGATGCCAAGCTGGTACTTACAAAGAGACTTCACCCCCTTTTCCCAGCATCTTTGTACTCTGCATACTATCAAAAGAGAAATGTAAACACCAACTCAGCCACAAAACCTTTATCTACAATGGTGTACTACCTGCAAGATATGCTCGGGCAATAATGGCACAAAGCTTGTGGGAGTAATCAATCAATAACTGATTTGACTTAAGGCCCACTCCATGAAACACTGCATTACCAGACACTGCATGGATGACCAAGAACCTGAGACTAGTTAGCCCAGGGACCTAAGGTAAAACCAAGTGATACTTGTCTAAAAAAAAAGAAAGAAAGAAAGAAAGAAAGAAAGAAAGAAAGAAAGGAAGAAAAAGTGTAATGATAAATGATTCCTAATGATATTCTGCTATACTCATAGATTAGTGCCTTGTTCAGCTATGATAAGAGAAGCTTTCTACTGAAGTAGATGGGAGCAAATATAGAAACCCATAGCCAAACATTATGTAGAGGGTGAGAGATCTCAGAACACTCTCCACCCAATCTCTCCCCTCAGAGCTCAGGGAATCCCTCCCCTCAGGGATCAGGGAATCCCTCAGAAGAAGATGTAAAAAGAATGAAAGAGCCAGAGGAAATGGAGGACACCAAGAAAACAAGTCCCTCTAAATCAACATGAGCAAAGCGCGTGTGAACTCACATACAGGCAACATGCACAGGGCCTGCACAGGTCTGCACCGGGTCCTCTGTGTATATATTATACTCTCCAATTTAGTGCTTTTATGGGATTCCTGAGTATGTGAACAAGTGGGTCTCTGACTCTTGTGCCTTCTCTTAAACTCCTTTTCCTTCTGGTGGTTTGTCTTATCCAACTTTGTTGTGAATATATATAACATTTTACTTTGTTATATTTAAAAGATGAATGAATGGGGCTGGAGAGATGGCTCAGAGGTTAAGAGCACTGACTGGCTGCTCTTCCAGAGGTCCTGAGTTCAATTCCCAACAACCACACAGTGGCTCACAACCATCTGTAATGAGATCTGGTGCCCTCTTTTGGTATAGATGAAAACAAAGCACTCATATACATAAAGTAAGTAAATAAATATTTTTTAAAAAAATGAATGAATGAATGAATTAAATAAATAAATACAAGGTAACTACTGGGGTAAAGGCTAACTGAATTGTCACTTACACCTGCTGGGAGAGGGAAAACCAGTTTTCTCCTGTGGAGTGACAATGGGTTTAACAACCACTCCAGGACAGGCTGCCTTAGTGAGCCTCCATGGAGAGCAGCACTTGCAATCTCTTTCCGCTCAAACTGTAAGCTTCTCCTCCTTGCTCCTACAGTGCAACTTAAAGACAGTACTGCCTTTGTGGCTGGATCACCACCTGGGCTTTCAGTTTAAGTATGCAATTGATCAAATCTGTAATGAGTGCAGCACCTGGTGACTGACTTGTTTGAGGTCCCAGTGCTTACACTGGATATGAACAGCAACCTCCTTGATCTAACGACATATTATTGGCTTGAGATCTGATTCTTGTTCCCTTCCCTCAAGTAGTATTCAGAATTCTAATATTGAAAATTTGTGCAGATTTGTGTGGAACAAAGCCTAGGGGGAAAGAAATGAAAACTGTAGATTGGATAGTAATCTGTGTTTATCATTAACAATAATGTATTTGGGGGTGGTTTTGGTGTCATAATTTCCTTTAGTTGGTGTTTTACTTCAAATTCATTTCTGTCCTACAATGCAAGTTTCAATAAAAGTTTGCTTAATTTAAAAAGAAAAAGATGCTGCCGCTGTTGCTTTCCTGTCACAGCAGTCCTCCTTGAATTTCTGATGTCTGATCACCCCTTAAGTGAAATATCAAATGTCTGTGTTTCTGACCCTTAACTATGTTTTCTCCCTGAGCCCCTGTGTGCTTCTCAGACACTTTTCCAGGTAAGGAAGGAGAGTTTGGAAGAAGTTCCTCTGTCCCAGCCACTCTTCCTTACAACATACCTTGTGTGCCAAAGTACTGTTTTCTGAGGATGACTAACTTATAAGTAGACAACATAAGAATAGCTTAGCAAGTGGGGCAGTGATGGCGCATGCCTTTAATCACAAAACTCGGGAAGCAGAGCCCTGAAGATCTCTGAGTTTGAGGCCAGCCTGGTCTATAGAGTGAGTTCCAGGACAGCCAGGGCTACACAGAGTAACCCTCTTTCAAAAAACAAAACAAAACAAAACAAACAAACAAACAAAAACAAAACAAAACAAAAATAAAAAACAGAATAGCCTAGCAACCTAGGACTCCACTTGGCTTGGACTATGCACACACCCCTCTCATAGTGCACTTGGGCTATGCACACATACTTTGTCTCTAAACAATATACCTAGCAATAGTGTAAAAAGGGGAAGCACTGGGCCGATGAATGCCAATCAGTTAAAGATATCAACGGCCAGCCGCTTGATGTGGGATTCAATGGTGCCAGGCCAAAAAACGGCCAACGGGCCACCCGTCCCCAGGGCCCTCGAATATATGGGGCTATGGAGGATCAGAGCAGTGGGACCAAAACTCAGTGGTCGTCCCTTCGGCCACCAAGGGACCAAGGAGAGCCACTGAGGGTTCAGCAGGATTGGACCTCTGTTCCACCACCAGACTCGTATTAACTCCCCAGATGGGGGTCCAATTGATAGAGTCAGACTTTCAGGGTCCCTTAGAACCAGGCACAGTTGGGCTCCTTCTAGGGAGATCTTTTTCAGCTTTGAGAGGCCTTAGAATCCACCCAGGGGTGATTGATCCCGATTACACTGGAGTGGTGAAGATCATGGTAGAGTCCCCTAGAGGCATTA